GGGGGTAAAGACGATAGATGTTTGATAGGAAAGAAGGAGCATACCACATCAGTGCACCCGCCAACCACCCGCACAATGAGAACTGAAGTTGTCAGGATGTTCAAAATTAATGTGCTAAGCCCGGAAAGGAAATGGGTTTCGTTTGCTTTTTTGTTGTTGTTGTTTTTTTTAGAAGAGAGTAGAAATTATTTCCTTCTTTTGTGTAAGCGTCCACCAATCCAAGATCATTTCCAGGCCAGGCTAATGTACCAAGTTTTTGTACAGTGTACAACACAGGCTAATGTACCAAGTTTTTGTACAGTGTACAACACAGGCTAATGTACCAAGTTTTTGTACAGTGTACAACACAGGCTAATGTACCAAGTTTTTGTATGGTGTACAACACAGGCTAATGTACAAAGTTTTTTCACAGTGTACAACACAGGCTAATGTACCAAGTTTTTCCAAGGTGTAGAAGCGACTCAAAAAGATCCGCGTCCACCGACATCAGACCAGCCAAACCTATTTTTAGCCCAGTGCGTTATGATTACGAGAACAACAGACAGCACAGGCGATTTATTTATTTATTTACCACTTTAAAAAACTAAAAAGCAACAAATTATTATCATGGGAAAAATTGTTGGTAATTTGGGAGGATGACAAGGAAAAAAAAAAAGATGGGGCTGGGATTCGAACCCACGCTCATAAAGAAAAATGTTAGTCTTCAAACGCAGACACACTGTTCACTCGGCCATCAGAACTTTCATCAGCAAGGGTAGATTTAGCTTCATATTTACAGCACTGTTTCAGGAAAGGCAAAACGACAAACATCGTAGATCTTGGCCTAGATCTAGATTTATTAGACGGTGAAAATGTCGGTCTGAAGGAAACTAAAAATTGAAGGAAACTAAAAATTGAAAGAAATTTGGAAGCACAAAACATTAGAGATTCTAGATCTAGATCTAGATCTAGATCTAGATCTAGACACGTTCTTAGCTAGATCTAACCCAAGACGGAATAAGACAAGACGGGACAATTCTTTACGTCATGTGACAAGCGCAGGCCCCTCCCACTTTTGCAGCTGCGCGTATAACTCGCTGGACTGGCGATAGTTTACATTGGTTACAATGCAAGGCTACTGATCATCTCGGGCTGTATGTCTAGCCAAGGCCTACTAAAATT